GCATGGGCGCCGTCGGCATGGAGAAAAACGGGCTCCACATCGAGCCGCCTCGCCGATGCATCGGCGATGCGGCGCGATCCTCCGAGCCCATCTGCTCGGACCCCCTCTCTGGGAGGCCTGGCGCAGCCGAGCCGAGGCTGACCCCCCCCCCTTCGGAAAGAGCCTTGGGTAGGCCCCGGTGCAGGCCTAGGGCTAGGCCCAAGCTGAGGCCTAGGTGGGGCCCAAGGTCAGGCCTGGGGTTCTGTGGCTCCCATCGTACTCCAAGACCACATCCCAGAAATCACTCGAGCACCCGGAGAAAGGCATCGAGAGAATGGCGAAGCGGTGTCGGGCGAGTGCCTTCCGGGGCCCGACGCGCGAACACCCTCGAGTTCGGGGCACCCTTTCGGGGGGCCCGAAGCTCTTCCTGGTGCTCGAGGCTGCAGCATAGGCTGGAACACCGTAAGCCTGCGGGGAATGGTCGCGGGCAGGCCTCCCGCGGGGGGGGTCCTCCGCGGGGGCCCTCGGACCGTGGACCCCCCCCGCTCGGAGGGTCCGCGGCCGGGCGGGGCCGCCGCGCTCGCCGCCGCGCGCCCGCGGGGCCGTGGGCCGTCCCGACCACGGGCGCTGCAGGCTGCCGCTGTGCCTCTGCCCGCCGCCGCCCTGCCTCGTGAGCGTTTTTTTGTTGTATGTATATATATATATATATATATGTGTATATATATATATATGTATATAATGGTATGCTGTTGTTTTGTTTTGTTGTTCTTTCTCTGCTAGGACCCCTTCAGCGCTTGCACTGAAGGGGTCCTAGCGGAAGTTGAAAGGTTTGACGAACATTTCCCGCCGGTTTTGGTGGCAGGCTGGGTTCCCGGGTTCCGGGTACCGGGTTCCCGGTTATTGGTTCCGGGCCGATTTCGGTGGGTTCTGGGTTCCCGGGCTCCCGGGTTCCCGGTCGATCTCCTCAGCGAAGACCATCCACTGATTTGTTTTTTTCTCTGGCGTTTCGACATTGGGCGGAAGGGGGGGGAGGGAGGGGGGTCTCGCTCAAGACGTCTGCTTAGTGCGACTGTCCGGGACCGTGCGTCCAAGGGGGGGAGGCTCCACCTGCTCGAAAGATGCGCCAAAAAACAGCCAAGATCCACTACACGGGGGGGGGAGGGGGGGGGCGAGGGCCCGCGCCGATCGGCAAAAGAATGAGTAAAAAACGGTCATCTCCGGGGCCCAGCAACATCATTGGTGTTTGCGTTTGCGCGTGCTTTATTTTGTGGAGCTGGGCTCCCTGGCGCTGTCGGCCGAACGACCCGCGTCGCGGGACACTCTGGCGACGCGGTTAGCCGCCGCAGAAATCGTCGATTTCACGCTGGGCGGGCGGCTGCGGCGACGACGGCAGCGACGCCGACGACCATGACAACGGCCACAACAGCCACCACGACGGCGATCACGGCGACGGTCACGACGACGACCACGACGGCAACCACGAAGATGAAAACGACGACGACCCCGACCACGGTGGCGACGTCCCCGAGAGCCCCGCCGGGACGTAGGTGCCCGCACAAGGCGCGTCGGCGCCGCAGATCATGCAGCGCATCTCCTGGCTCTGCGGGCATGCCAGGCAGCGGCAGCGGTGACGCCGCCGCAGCCGTCGTCGTCGTCGTCGTCGTCGTCGTCGTCGTCGTCGTCGTCGTGGTTGATGCCGTGGTCATGGTCGCATTTGTCGTGATCGTGGTCATGGTCGTCGTTGTGGTGGAGATGGTCGTCGTCTTTGGGTGAGGGATTGGAGGGAAGAAATGGTTGGGGAGAGTAAAGAGGGGACGGCTGTGCGAGCGGGAGGCGGAGGATCTCGCGGAGGGAGGACGATAGGGAGGGGGGAGGAGAACGGGGATGGCAAAGGGGGGCGAGGGGGCATCATATAATGATGAAGATGAGCGGGTCTCCGGGGGCCCCTCGGGACGACCCGGGAATCCCTGCAGCGCTTTCGGCGTGGCGCAACTGCTGTAACACATCCCGAGGCAGGAACGCCCCCGGGTGTCAGCAACTTCCGAAAGCGCCTGGAAGGCCACTCTTGCGGAGAGTCGCACTGGCAGAGACTCGTGCCAATTCCCACTCTCCCGCGCTGGCAGCGCCTGCTGCCGCAGCCCACTATCTCACTCCGTTGGGGAGAACGGCTGCGGGAGCGGGAGGAAGGGCATCTCGGGGAGAAGGACTACGGAGAGGGGGGGGAAAGAACGGGGAGGACAACAAAGGGCGCGGGGAGTAATACAATGATGAAGACCAGGAGGAAGAAATAGGGAGGTGGGAGAAGAGGGGGAGTGGAAATGGGAGGACGGGGGGGAGGACGAAGGCGAGGATGAGGGATAATTGGGGAGTGGGCGAGGACCTTCTGGCTCGAACTGGCCCCCCTACTGCGGCGGATGTGAGGCTCGGGCGTCGCCTCTGGCATCGCCCGGGCCCTCGCCGCTGCGGCTGCCGAAGCGGGGCTCCGCCGCGGCCTCCACCCACACCTGGCCGCTCACGCCGAGGGTGCACGACCAGCCGGCACCGCACCGGGAAATCCGGACCGGAGCCGAAAGCGCGTCGGACTGGGCCGCATCGGCACGGGGCCGAAGTCTTACCGGGTCGGCTGCGCCACAATGCACCGCAACGCCATGCCAGCATCGGGCCGCGTCTGACTGGCGGAGTGTGGGAATCGAAGCGGACCGAGCCGGCCAGAACCGACATCGAATCGGATCGACCGTGCGGGGATGGACCCTGCTGCAGCGCGGACTGCTCCACGAGGCGCCCTTGAGCTCTTCCTCCTCCTCCTCCTCCTCCTCCTCCTCCTCCTCTTCCTCCTCCTCCTCCTCCTCCTCCTCCTCCTCCTCCTCCTCCTCGGTGGGGAAGGGGCGCCATCTCCTGGCTGCGCGCCTCGGCGGGGCGTAGTCCTGGCGCCGTCGCTGACGACGCTGGGCTCCACCTGCCTCGGCTGCTCCTGAAAGCATTGCCACCCTCAAGGTGCCTGTCGAAAGCTCGGGCCCACCCTGCCCGAGGGGAGAGGGCGCATGGGGAGAAGTAGGAGCAGGGGAAGGATGCTCGAAAAGAGTAACCCTGGCAGGGCGGCTAGGGGCCCCCCCCGGAGGCTCTTGGAGGCCCTGGGCGGCAGGAGGGGGAAGGGGGAGGGGCAGGTCACAGGATGGGGACCCCTTGACCTCCACCTTCCGAACCTTCCGCGCAGCAGTTGCCGCCGCGGCGTGGCCGCGGAGACCGCCGAGACCGCCGCTGCGGCCTCGATGGCGGCCTCGACCGTGGCCGCTCTGGCGGCTGACGCCGCGCGGCATCTGCCGCGCGGAAGGTGCTCAAGGTGGAGATCGAGGGAAGGGGGGATGGGGGAAGGAGGCGAAGGACGGGAAAGGGGGGGATATCGAACGAGCACACCTCCCAGGGCCCGACACGTGAAAAACCTCCAGTCCCACCAGCCCTTTGTGGTTTAGAGAGCCCGCTCTGTTCTCAACCCCCCTTCTTCCCCTTCGGGGAGGGGTTTACCCCTCCCCCTACCCCCTCCCCCTGGGCCTGGAGAGGGCGCCTCGCGGGTGGTCAGAGGGGTCGTTTTCGACTCCTGGGAGGGCTAAAAAACGACACCCCTCACGAGGATTCTGGCCCCGACGGGGGGAGGGAGAAAAAATGCTCCCCTCTTCTTTGAAGCCAAAATCATTGATTTTACTACGGTTTTGGCCCCATTTTGGCCTTCTGAGGGGTCAGCGCTAATTAAAGCTCCCCTCTTCTTTCAAGCCAAAATCATTGATTTTACGAAGGTTTTGGCCCCATTTTGCCCTTCTGAGGGGGCAGCGCTAATTAAAGCTTCCCTCTTCTTTGATCGCTTTCCTCCCAGATGGCCCCAAGAAGCGCCCAGGAGGCACCAAGAGGCCCCAAGATGGCCCCAAGAGGCCCCCAGAAGGTCCCCAAGAGGCCTCCAAGAGGCCCCCGAGATGCCCCCAAGAGGCCCCCAAGAGGCCCCAAGAGGCTCCCCCGAGGCACCCAAGACGCTCCTGGAAGCCCCTGGGGCCGCCAAGAGGCCCCCAAGACGCCCCAAACGGCCTCCAAGAGGCTCCCAAGAGGCCCGAAGAGGCTCCCCCAAGGCACCCAAGACGCTCCTAGAAGCCCCTGGGGCCGCCAAGAGGCCCCCAAGACGCTCCAAAAGGGGACGAGGTGCCCGAACGCCTCACGCCACGAGGAGCCCGAACGACTCACACCAGGACGAGGGGCCCGAACGACTCACACCACGAAGAGCCCGAACGACTCACACCAGAAGGAGGGGCCCGAACGACTCACACCAGGACGAGGCGCCCGAACGACTCACACCACGAGGAGCCCGAACGACTCACACCACGACGAGGGCCCCGAACGACTCACACCACGAGGAGCCCGAACGAGTCACACCAGGAGGAGGGGCCCGAACGACTCACACCAGGACGAGGGGCCCGAACAACTCACACCACGAGAAGCCCGAACGACTCACACCAGGACGAAGAGCCCGAACGACTCACACCACGAAGAGCCCGAACGACTCACACCAGGAAGAAGGGCCCGAACGACTCACACCAGGACGAGAAACCCCAAACGACTCAAACCACGAGGAGCGCTTTCTCTCCCTCCTCCTCCGCCTCGTCCTTCTCCCGCTCCCACCACAAGGAGGATGTACAAGGAGGCGGGAGGAAGGAGGAACAGGGGAGATATGCGGGGGCAGGCGGAAACACGCCTGAAAAACACGACTGTCGGCATGCTTCGCAAGAGTTGCTGTTTTGAGATGGGCTGGTGGGGATACGCGAAGCGTAAATAATTTCGGTACATTCCTGGCTCTCGAAAATCGTCTCAGTAGTTTGGGACATCATCAACCCTGAGATCAACATCTCTCAAAATCGCGTCTGGAGCTCTGGACCCCATCTGTCTGCGTCATTTTTCAAACCAGATCGACCTGTGAGGGTCCTGGGGCCCAATATAAAGAAACATGCCCATTGTCAAAAAATACAACGCCAGGATCTGAG